AACCAGGATCCAAACCACCTGCAAACAGGTGAGTGTCCCATCACACATCTGAATATCCCTCCTCCGTTCCTTTCAGTCAGTGCTAGGTAGGAAGGTAAAACTATCAGCAGACAACAATGTCAATATTGGACGATATTGGATTAAGTTCAAGTGACAATGTGTGCAAGGAAAGTTGCATTCGAATAACAAATATTTGTTAAATCTTTTACATGCTAAAGGCCTGTAACTGTAACCTGCATATTCTATCTGTCTAAACTAAGGGGCAGAGTTAAAATGTTCCTCTTTGTCCCACATTTGTTGGGTCTGGTCACCCGTCCTGCATCGTATTGAACATTGGGCATTGATTGATGTGGAATTGTCCCATATGGATGTAAATTCTTAGGGGTACTAGGCTGTGTCCAAACAATGTAAGAAGCAGTTTCAACGTCTCCTTTTAGGAAGCGTTGTCCGAGGAAACACTAAGAGTCAAGAAGTATTTCTTTCCTGTCTTTGCCTCCAGTCTGGAGAGCATAATGCCCTTGTCTCTGCTGACTCCACTTTACACACGGCTGTACACAGACATGTAGTTTTGTGTATGTGCATCCAATGCCGAGTGCAAACAAACTGACCTCTGAAACTGTAACACAGGCATTTTTTTTTAGATTCTGACTGCATAAATGTCAATAAAAACTGTAATAGCCTTCATATAAAAATACAAGCAGAACAGAGTCTCCATTCAATCAGAGCAGCATCAATTATTCATAAATGCTCCTGTCGGCTGTGCTGCTCCTGGGATCGATGTCTCTGTAATATGGACTGATACAAGCCCCTGGTCGAGTCCTGGCTGTAGCAGGTTAATGGGCCAACTTGATTTCACCCACTGCTGGAGGCACTTCCTGGACAAAACTCTGGACCGCACCCCACTAACACACTTTATAACCTCACAGTAAGTCTGTAGGTAGAGCAGATATGTGTTTATACTGTCGACTGTAAAGATTTTAATGTAATATCTGTAAAGTCCACAGGTTTCTCAATGGAAGCTAAGAAGCTTGGAGCTTTAGTTCTCACAGTTCTGTTTCTGTTTCTGGAGCCAGAAAACACACATATTTGGGTTTGGATTATTTAATGATCTATTATAGACACGTTTTAGATTAAGTGAAGGACTTAAGTTCACTGAAAAACGTATGTATGTATTTGGAAATATGTCTGAAGATTTGGACAATTTATTGATTTCTAATGCCACCTTTACATACTTCTATTCAATGCTTTACTAATGTGCCACAATAATGTCATGTTAGAGTTCAAATATCTTTATTTGGATGCTTTTCTAATCAAATATTGAAATATGTCATTGTTTGTGATTCAATCAGCATATATTTCTGCCACTCCTTAAAGTCTACATGCCACCCTCTTGCCACCCCATGAATATTTCTCTACATCTGCCCCGGATACAAAAAGCATTTAGGCATGTATTGACGTTACCAGGGATTTTAACCATCCAGTTGTTGTAATAGTCCTTGTTGTTGTCCACTCCTGTAAAACAAATTATTGTTCCTACAGTGTGATGTTTGAGCTTAACTGTGCAGA